TAATGACAATTAATCATCAATAGATTTATAAATTAGTCAGCAGATGTTATACAATTAACCAACAGATTTTATACAATTATGACAGTAAATTTTACGCAATTTGTCAATATATATTATACAATCATGACAATAGATTTTATGCAATTAATCAATATATTTTATACAATCCAAAACTAAAATTAGAATCATGATTTAGAAAACACATTGTCACATTTTATAATGAGGTACATTTTCACATCTACTTGATCACTCAGCAAGTACAGTGTGCCGCATTGTACAACGAGCCACATGTCTCAAAATAAGAAAACAAATGCACTTCGCTACATTGTACAATGAGCTCCACTACAACACCGTTATGGAGGGCCATTCACATATTCCTATTGCCATGCATGCTAGGCGCCCAATTAACACTGAACACTTCTCTATATACCCGGAAACGGAACGGTTATGTATGAGTTTACACTTATCACTTTCTCACTACATCTAGAAACGGAATGGTTATGTAAAGGTACACTGAAGTCTAGCATCATGTAGGTGCTTTTGGAACGAGTTGACTCGATAACGAGTAATGCACATTTATCAAAATCACTTTTCATAACACATGGACAAAATAACATTTAAAACACAATAACCCTTTCACAAAACACTTGCACTTTATATATGAAATACGTATAAACTACTAATGAAAATACTTGAAAACTACATAAACCATGCAATTACAATATCCACTTACCTCAGGTTCGATGCAATCAATTTAAGCTCTCTCTATTTGAGAAGAGATTCCCCTTATTTTTTTCTCAGTTACCTCTAGTCATTCAGGTAGAGTCTCCCCTTATAAATACTTCAAATTTATCTTTTTATTCGGGTAGAGACTCCCCTTATATTTATTCAAATTCCTACCGAAATTTCGGTAGCATCTCCCCATAGAATTATCATCATTTTATATAAAAAAATATCCTCATTGTAAGTAAATTAATTCCCTTGAAAAGAAATTCGAAACTACATACCTTATAGAACACATTACTTCAACTTCGGCAGAGTCTCGACTTAATTTATAAGTTTTTTCTCTCAAAAATTTGCAAAGCTCCGGAATATTTTTGAGCAATATCTAACATCAAAAACCTCATATCATTTAAAAATCATCCTCAAATTTTCAAGAGAATGAAAGAGAAAACTCACCTTAACCCCGCGAGTTCTCCATAGTTGGCCGTGAGCTTTCGCTCTCCTTTTCTTTGTTTTCTTTGTTTTTCTCATTTCCTTCTTCTTTCCTCTCTCTTCCTCGCATAATTTGGGTCGAGTTTTCTCAAGGAAAAACTCCCAAATTCCATCAATTTCCCTCACTTTTATCGGGTTTCTTTCTTTTCTCTCTTTTTTCCTCTTTTCTTTCTCTCTCTAACCTTGCTTTCTCTCAACTCCAGAATGCTTCTACCACTCCCTCACCCCTATTTATAGGGGAGGGAGGCCACAAGAGTCGGCCAAGAGGGGTTTAGGTGTCAACTTGTGAGGTCACCTCAATTCCTCAAGCTTATCTCTTTCCCCCTTTTCCCTTTTCCTTCATCCTTAAGTAATTCTAAAGTATTCCCTCCTTATCCAGACGCCACACACATCTTTATCCTCCTTCCAGGAGCTTTCATACCAAATTTGGGCTCCATTCAAGCTGCTTTGGGCTGCCTTAGGCCCACGTAAACCCATAAGACCCAAAACCGCACTCCATGCACATGCCTTCACTTCAGATGGCCATGACTCCCTTGATTCTTATTAGTTTTCGGCCCATTTTATCTTCACTTGCTCGTCGAGGTTTCAGCTGTTTACAGACTAAATTTGGGCTTAAAACAGAAACATTTGGCCCATCTAAGGTTCACCTAGGGCCCAAAAGGTCCAAACCACAAGCAAAGTTAAGTCATTGCCCATACCCTTACTTCAAAACTTCGTAACTTGCTCAATTCTTAATTGTTTTGGACAAACTTGTGTGTTCATGTGTTTCTCAAGCAGACAGCTATCACATGGTTTTGGTTTGGGTTTCATCCGAGTCCATTTGACCCACTTATGACTCAAACAAGTCCAAAAGGTCAAAACTGTCATTCTTGTTTATATCTCTCGGGTTTGATCTCATTTTTCACGAATTTTCTTCTATGGACATTTTTCTTTTTCCACACACTTCTTCATTAATGTCTTGGGTAGTTCTTAGCCAAATTTGATATCAAATTCCAAGTAGTTTAGTCTCGGGGCATAAATCAAACTAAAGGGGTTAAATTAGAGCTTCATCGGGAACTATTACTTACGGTAAGGCTTCGGTTCCTTGCATTTTTCTCTCAATTTGTCTTCGTCACAAGTCTTTCTTTTTTTACAACTTTCTTTCCCATATGTTATCTAATGTCTCTTTTATCCCTAAATTCCATCGATCATGGTCTCAGGAAGTGTTTGAAGCACTAAAGGTCACTTTATGTTACTCAGGGAATTTTTGTCCCTCTCTCGGGGGATTATCTCCCTCTCTTGGGAGATTTCTCTCTTGATTCTTAATCTATTTACTCTCTTATGTTCCCAAAGCGTCTTTTATTTTCTACAAAGTCTTTTTAGTCTTGAGAACCGTTCCCAGAATTAGAAAATTTTTTTTCCTCCTTGAGAGAAAGTTCTCTTTTTGAGGGGTTCTTTTAACCCTAATTTCGCCGTTTTCACTTTGTTTGACTCGAGACTTAATTCTTAGCCTTATTATATCTCATTTCATATATATACACACTTAATCAACCATATCAAATACAAGAGTTCAGACAGGAGAAAATCCAGGCTATTATATAAAATTTCTGTGACTTTCGTCCATTTAGATTTCTAATAAGACCTTTATGAGAACATTAAGCTTTGTCTACAAATGAACCATCCCCTTAGTTTATCGAACTCAACGTTTAAGCCAGCTAGAAATTTAAAGGTACAATGATCCTCTGTCACTTTCTTGTAGTAGTTGTAGTCTTTAGTGGATTTCGATTTATAGTCATTGAACATTCAAGCATTGCCATAGACGTTTCAACAAGGTTGAAATACTTGATGACATTGTCATTTCCCCTGTTTAATTTCATAAAGTTTCAAGATTAGTTCATAATTATGAGATTGATTACTTA